CGAGATCTGGTATCAAGCCTTGAGCATCCGAATGATGGCATCTTTGGGAAAAGGCGAAGTATGTGGATGAAGACAGATGATGAAGCATGCCAGACGAGGTAGGTGCCGGCGAAACCATTCACCGAGACGCCAAAGAATGTCGCGCTCCCCACCACCCCACCATCGTTTGGTCGATCTCACAGCAAAGGTCCCACGGTCTCTACCTTGCCTCGTTTCCTCTCCTCCCCTCCCTACCTACCTTGTTCTGCGACACCCTACACCGTCACAATGAGCGACGCGACGCCTACACCTGAACCAGAAACCCTCGAAGCGCTACAATCTCGACACCGCAAAGAACAACGCGACCTCGTATCCCGTGTAACACAAAAGAAGAAACAAGCGAGTAAAAAGACACGGAAGGGTGTCAACGATGAGTGCGAGCGACTCGAACGCGAGTTGAAGGAGCGGCAGGCGCATGAACTCGCCGTGCTGAACGGAGAGGCTGTGGATGCGGAGGAACAAGCAGAGGACCCACAAAGCTCTGGGGATGAAGCGCAGGATATCCAAGAAGACATGTCCAATCTCCGAGTAGGTGGTTCGGATAGCAAAGACAGCAGCACCAATGGCGATTCCACCGAGCCCAGGAAGAAGAAGCCGAACCGTGCCAAAGCCCGCCTCGCCCGTCGCGCCGCCGAACAAGCCTCCATCATCGCAGAAGCAGAGCGCGAAGCTGCCAACGCGCCGAACCCACGCGAACTAGAGCGAGAACGCATGGCGACACAGTTACAAAAACACGGGCTGGCGCTGCATGAGATACGCGCGGATGGTCATTGTCTGTACGCTGCAGTCGCGGACCAATTGCAGACACGGGAGTTGGGCTTGAAGCCGAGGATAGGTGTCACCATCAATGGACAGGGAGACCAAGGACTGGACGCTAAGGCCGAGGCATATAAGACAGTCCGGCACGCAGCAGCAGACTGGATCCAGGGCCACGCGGACGACTTTTCGGGTTTCATGGAAGACCCGTTGCCGGAGCATGTGCGCAAGATTAGAGAGACAGGCGAATGGGGTGGCCATCTGGAACTGCTAGCATTGGCTCGGACATATGGTCTAAGGATATGCGTGCTGCACAGCGATGGGCAGGTGGACAAGATAGAGGCCGAGGACGAGGTCAAAGAGAAGGAAGAGATCTGGCTGGGATACTACAAGCACAGTCACGGTCTAGGCGAGCATTACAACTCGCTACGCAGGGTTGGATGAGGCTGGGAGCGGTAATGCAGATACTGGCATTTACAAAACGGTTACCAGAGATATGCAGCCCCTCAGCAACCCGCTACGCTCAATGCCACCTCTGCTCGTCCGGACAATCCGCCTTGTGCCGCCACATACTCACGCAGTCTCGTACGAGACCTTTGATCACGCCAGCATCGTGGGTCCTCCTAGGCGTATAGTGCGCGATCTTGACCAGCGCGTTGTCCGTCTCCTCTCTATCCGTCTTTGTCACCACGCCCTGATCGTCATACGAGATATCCTCGCCTGGCTGCTTGAGCAGCTCAGTGTGTACAAGCGGCGGAAGCGACCACGGAGGGCCACCGGAGGATGCGGGCTTATGTGTTGGGAACTCGAGACAAATGAGGACACCGCCGGTAGACTGGGAGTTGGTGGCCGGCCGGCGGAGAAGCGTGGTCATTCGAGATGCCCACTTTGGCCTTAGCGACAGAGGGAGCGCGCAGAGGAACTACTCATCGCATCAGTACAGAACACCAGGCAATCTTCACGAGGCACGTCTGGGACTCTACTCACCGTAATGTCGTAGATAATGTCAAATCCTTCATCACCCTCCCAGCCCTCTACATCTGCCAACCAGCCATCCTCAAAGAAATCCCCGCATACAACATTCATCGCCCCTTTACCGATCTTCTCATCCGCCACCTTGTATTCTCCTTCCAACGGGCCCTTGCCAGCGTCCTGTAGATGACCCTTCGCAGCCTCAGCAGCATGCGAGGACACCTCCAGCCCATAAGCGTCATATCCATGCGCCGCGAAGAGCGCTACATCGTATCCCTTTCCACACCCCGGCACAAGCACCCTCCTCCTCTTCTTATCGTCTCGTAAAGGTCCAGCGAGTGACGCATAACCCGCCGATTCGCTATTTGGTGGTGGTGCGCCGAGAGAAGGATTTGGGTCTGGGGACGACAATGGGCGACCACGCTCCTGCAGCAGGTCAATCAATGCGGGGTTCGCGTGACCACGATCCCAAGGTAGGAATGTAGAATCTCTCCATAGGTCGTCCCAGCGGTTGTTGTGTTCTTTGTCGGGAGCCGAGGAGAAGTGTGTTCGGAGGCGGTCTTGGTTCTGGGTTGCCATGACGTGGGCAATCAGCTTGTGGTATATGGCGAGGTCGATTGAGTTCGCATCGAAGACCAATGGCTTGATGGTATCGTGGGATAGTTCTCGACGATGACGGAATGAGGAAGCCGAGGCCACGATGGGCCCTTCCAAGCCATTTTGAGCTAACCCATCGTTACCCCGCCAAAACTTGCTCGCACGACAACGCCAAATGTGACGATAACGGCCTTGCAGATGCGATCGGTTCCTGCCATATCCACCTCAACGGTGTTTGCACTTCGCTGGCAGATGCACACACATAAGCATCAAACGGGCTGACTTCGCTGCGGCCCTACGACAGATACGACAGATCTACACCTGGCACATCCCGTGCCGTGAAGCTCCAATTACCCGGATCGCAAGCATGCTTCCTACTGGGCCCACCCTTGCTTCGGATATAATTAATGCGATTTGTTTCCGCATGGCAAACCGCCTATGTCGGCAGTCACTTCTGCTTAGTTATCGCTCAACAACTGCGTTTCGCTGGGTTTCGTCTGGAGTCATGGCCTGGTTTGACTTTTCTTCGCCCACATTCCCCGTGTTGAGGACACACTGCGGTGTACATAGCGTACAGGTACGCGTTGATAGTATGCTGAAGAGCTAGAGATAGCGGCTGTCGACAACCGAGGTATTACGACGCATACGGAAAAGAGCAGGTGCACGCGGAAATCAATGCAAGCTGTCGATTGACATAACCTTGTGAAGATCGGGACGTTGCGTTACTTGGCTTTCTTTCTCTCTTGTCGTTTTTGCAACGGGCGATGATGGCAGACGACGAGAAGGCAAGATCGCCTTCCGGGATGTTGAAACAGGAGAATGTGCCGAACCGAGGCATCGAAGAAGAGACGAAATTAGAACAGGAAGAAATATCGGAAAAAGACATGCTAGAAACAAGCAACCAAGGGAACGACGACACAATGTCAATTTCGTCATCACGAGCGTCAACGGCTTCAACGCACTCCACCAATGCCGACCAGCCGAGAACATCGAATACGAAACAACGTCCAGTTACCCTGGCAAGAACCACCTCAGTTCTTCCCGACGCCGTTATTGTTCCACGATCACAGCGCCGTGGACTCCTTGCACGCTTCGCGCTCATCCCAGAGGTTGAGAATCCAGAACACTACGCGCGGCAAACGAAATGGCTTCTCACATTCATTGTCGCCTTCTGTGCCATGGCAGCACCGATGGGTAGCGCAATCGTTATGCCAGTGTTGCAAGAGATCAGCGTAGCTTTCAATGCTACGGAGACGGTAACCAACATGAGCGTTGCTGTGTACATGCTGAGCATGTCCATCTTCCCATTGTGGTGGAGCTCCTTCTCTGAACGATTGGGTAGACGTACCATATACATCACCTCGTTCATACTCTTCGTATTGTTCGCTATCCTCTCTGCGATCAGCACAAGCATCGCTATGCTGATCGTCTTCCGCGTCCTGTCTGGTGGTGCAGCGGCATCGGTACAGGCTGTAGGCGCAGGGACTATCGCCGATGTCTGGGAAACGAAAGAGCGCGGACGGGCGATGGGCATCTTCTACCTTGGACCGCTCTGTGGACCTCTCTTCGCGCCCATCATCGGTGGTGCTTTGGGGTCAGGGCTAGGCTGGCGATCAACACAATGGTTTCTGGTCATCTACGGTGGGCTGACCCTAATCTTCATAATATTCGCTCTTCCGGAGACCCTGCATCGAAAAGAGAAACCCTCCGCGGACCCAACAGCCCTACCCAACAACGATGCCGGGAAAGAACAAAGTACAACGCTCGGAAGAAGCACTACACGTGCCTCCACTGTCCAGAAGACTAAGAGCATGTTACTACACCTACGCCACATCTTCATCGATCCACTGCGAATCATAGCATGGCTCCGCTTCCCACCCGTCTTCCTAACCGTCTACTACGCCAGCATAACATTCGGCTGCCTCTACATCCTCAACATCAGCATCCAATCCACCTTCGCCGCCCAACCCTACTCTTTCTCCACCCTCATAATCGGCCTCCTCTACATCCCGAACTCTGTCGGCTACCTCCTCGCCTCACTCTTTGGCGGCAAATGGATCGACAGCATCATGCACCGCGAAGCCCGGAAGGCAGGCCGCTACGACGACAGGGGCAAGCTCATCTTCCGCCCTGAAGATCGGATGAAGGAGAATGCGTGGATCGCTGCTATTCTCTGGCCTTCGGCTCTCATCGTTTACGGCTGGACCGCGGAGAAGGGTATCCACTGGATCGTACCTATGATTAGTAACTTCTTCTTTGGCATTGGCAGTATGCTTATTTTCGCGTTGGTCAATACCATGCTCACGGAGTTCATGCCCAGACGCGCTGCGTCTGGAATTGCACTGAATAACTTTGTGCGAAACATCTTCTCTTTCACCGGCGCGATAGTTGCGGAGCCGATATTGAGTGCAATAGGAAACGGATGGTTGATGACGATTCTGGGCATTTGGAGTGTGGTCACGGGGTGTATGGCGCTTTATGCGATGGGCAGATGGGGCGAGAAGTGGAGGGAAGCCATGGTTAAGGTTTTGGGGTGATGAAACAGGATCTGTGAATGATTGTTTCGTAGTTTGATGAGAAGTATCGTTCAGCATACTAGATGGTAGGCGATGTGATCGCGATAAAGATATCGAATCTCACACCACAAACGACGCCTCAACAAGAACTTCGTCTTCCTCGCCAAGATAAGATGTGTGTCTCAGTCGCCAGTCGATACACGCTGCCCATTGCTTGGTGCCATTGCGGAAATTGGTTTCACCCAAGTCACCAGAGCTCGCCGAACCAGCTTTTGCGATGTTGAAGCCCCGGCCAGTGTAATAGTATCCTCCACCCATTCGGCAGAAGAGTTCCTCGCTCAGCCGATACTCCATTTCGTCCGCCACATGGCAGATTGTGTAGCTTTTGGTTTCGTAGCTGCGTGTTATCGATCCTTCAGACTTCAAATATTTGCCGACGTTGGTGACTAGCGCCATGATACGGTTAGTAGACTTTTGCGAAGCATGCTGGTTCAGGCGGCGATGAGGGTGGCTGGTGACCCCAAAATACTTGAACGGATTTTTCACGACCGACTGGCTACTGCCGCTGTCAGGGTTGTGTTGGAGCAGGTTTCGATCTACCGCCTCGCAAAACGTCTCTATGCGCTCGGCACGAATCTGGCGCCCAAGGTAGCAGTGACGACCTTGCTTGATCTCAGCAGCGCTACTGTGTCCACGAGTCTGGCTGTCGATGTTGGCGTTCTGTTGGGCTGATCGGGGGTCTCCTGAGATGTACAGGCGTAGGTGATTGAAGATCAGCTCAATGTCCTTCTGGCTGGGAGGGTTGCCCTGCTTGTCGACATATGCGCGCATGTACAGCGTGGGCACAAACTCATCAGAGAGTTCGCTGTCTCGCTGGGCCCACGGAGACTGGTCTGCAAACGGTATGCTCTTGCCATCATGCAAATTGATCTATCGCAACAGCGGAAGTGACAAACCTCCAACCGTACTTGTTTTGCTAACGTAGGATCGGGTCTCTTCCGACCACGCTCAACCCGCCGCGCAAAATTGCTAGACTCTTCTAGCTTGAACTAGTCACGTCACGAGGCAACTACTTCACAAGCCCATCGGAGACAGCTGCGGCGTCTCGCGCAATCTCCAGACACCCCCCTCCTTCATCTAACCACCATGACACCGTTTCCTCTTCTAGATACGAGATCATCCTATCGCGTATGCTCTCCCGGCATGCCACGACCGCCAGTACACACAACTCGGCATCAAGGCTTCCGCGAGTGGCTAGCCGGCGGCTTTGTGCTTGAAGTTCACCAGATACTGCGGGAAGCCTCGGTTCGCTACTACGATGTCGATGTAGTCATCCGAAAACCATTCAAGACACCCGGTCCGGACAGCGAGTACAACAAGACTGTAATTGTTTTAGCGGATATCTCGGTGGCAGATGCCCACGCCAACTGGGCTATCGCAGCACGGAAGATTCTGGAGCGGTTGATAGCCCTGGGGCGCGAAGACGTCAACGTGGAGATCGTGAACGTCGAAGCCGCCTGGGAGTTCAATAACGCCGTCGTCGAAGTCGACGAAACAGCACAAGCGAGGCATAACGTCTATATACAGATGATCCAAGAACTTGGCGAGATGCAATGGAACAGCATTGATGTTTTCCAGAGGTCTCTGGGCCAAGTCAAGCAAATGACTTCGCCAACTATGTACATCACAGCCTCCGATACGAACGACCCAAAGTGGTGGGACGAGGTATTGCCACGCCTTCGAAATCGAGCTCATACGCGGCGACCAGTCGTTGATCACAACACGACATCATTCGATGAGGACAGTCTAGGTAGGTGGACGATAGAAGATAGCTCATGATAATAGAGCTGATGTACTCTATCGGCTTCTTCTCTATTAGCACGTCGAACTTGCGCATGACCTCTACATTAGCTCGACGATGGACAGTCGAGCAATGAAGACTGTAGGTTATTAGACAGCTTCGCTGATTGTCTATGCGACTAGTTATACAAGGTACCTTTAGTGTGCTTTCGACTTCGGGTACATGTCGAAGTTACATGAAACCAGAAAACATATTTTAGGCCTGGAGCATACATTGCCTCACACATCACTCATTTGTGGACATTTAATGCTTTGTATGCAGTAACCTCGTATCAACCCACTGTATCCGCCATCTTCGATTATCTCAGCCATCTCTCATTCAATCTTACGTTGACACACGAATAGTACCACAAGGCATTCCTCCAACGATCCGCTCCGTCCCTGACTAGATGGTCTCGGTTAAGGGGAGGACACCACGAAGCTCCTTAAGGCAGTCTTCCATTTCTGACTTCCATCTGCTCTGTGTGAACATGAGCAGCATGAGGATATTTTTGCGAAAGGTTGATATCTCGCGATTATCGGCAGTGGTTGCGAAAGTAGCGACCCGGTGATCCAACATCATCTGCATCTTTTGCTCGGGACTTTGGTTGTCGAATTCTCGCAGGGTGTCTTGATCAAGATCCTTTCCTTGCTCTTTGTATGCGTCGATGAAGGCACTGATTGTTCTCTCCGCTGGCTCCAGATAAAGCTCAGCCGCCTGGATTAGCATGCTGCCGTACCAATCATCCGCTGCTACCAGCATCTCGTAACGTTGCGTGATTTCCAACTCTTCATTCTTCAAAATGGAGTCGGTGTACTTGGGTAGTCCTTTCAATTCGGTAATAGCCTCTTGGAGGAGGACCGAGGCGGCCCGCGCCTTCCTGGCTGGTGGAACGGTTATATGAACTAGCGCAGTGGTACCCTCTGGGGCGGCGGAAGACTGGTTATTTAGTTTCATCGTCCACTCCTCGAAGGAACCCAGGGGCCCAATATCGTCGAGGCTGGTCACGTTGGCCTTTGTTGTAAGTTAGATCGTGGTAATGCATTCGGGAAGCATACCTTACGTAGATGTTCTCTGATTTGATGTCTAAGAGACCCTGGGCAACCATTCTGTCCAACTCCTCCTTCTGGTTGGCCAACTTTCCCACAAACTGAGTCACTTCATCCGCACGTTCCTTCTGGCTTGCTGACCTTCGTTGGAACTTCCCTTTGATATCGTTTCCAGTCATGCTAGTGGCGTCGTAGTATTGGCTCGGTTGCACGTTGGTTCAGAGCGGACTTCGGGAGTGTGAATCAGGTCAGGCTCTGTGCAGGAGAAAATCGCAAGCTTTATTCCAATCGCGTGCTTGATGTCCATTGTTTGTGGGTTGGGCACTGGGACCGTCGCGTTCAAGCGCTCCTCGATTGTCTGGTTGTTCATGCTAGATCAGTGATCACCGGCTGAGTTAGAGTAAAGCACACCTGTGCGGTGGCAGTCTGCATGGTACTGATAGCTGCGCCAACACTTGCTCTGGGTTTGATGGGACTGTGACTGTTTACGTCCATACATAGCTACAGCTTACATCGTAACTGCTGATGGAGACGATGCGACTGGGGTACCCATACTCTGACAAAGTTTGCGATGGTTCTACAGATGTACCAAATAGCGTGCAAGGCGATATAACATCAGTCAAAGGTGTCGACGACGCGACGATCAGGGCGCACTCTGGTCTAACTTCGTCTGGAGACATCAGGCTCAGAGCCAGAGTCATCCTTGACAACGTAACGAGCAGGGCGCACTCTGGTGGTCAAATCCGGATGCGGGAACGACTGCGGCACATGGTAAGGTGTCGAGAAGATTGGAGGGTATGGCGTCATGTAGGCGGGGGCGTTGTAGCCATAGACACCTCCTTGAGGCACTGGGGAGCCATATGCCATATCCATTGGTGTCTGCTGATACCCGTACTGCATAAACGGGGGACACCGAGGACTCTGAATTGTCATTGGAGGATAGTAACCGATTTCTGTCTGCGCAATGACAGTCCCGTCGGGCAACCTCACTACTTGTTGCATCCGCGTAGATGCTTCGATACCTTGAGTGTCGGGACGGGTGTTGTAGCGGGGCACAAACTTCTAGTTCTACATCTGAGCTTTCTGCCAGGCGCGCAGGCAGGCGCGTAGGAGAGATAGCGTTGGACATGGGGGTTGTGGCTGGTCAATATTAGATAGTGACACAGGTGACCGAAGTAAGGGTTATGCTACTTACCAGACATGTGACCCTATCTATGAGAGAAGCGCGTGAATACATACCTAAATTAGAGACAAGGCTGATACAATAGCGCGATGCGATGATTGAAACCAGAATACACCAGCTCGACGACATTACGCATTTGCTGCTTCTGCGCTACTTCCCTACGTATGTTGATTCCACGCGCAAGTCATAGAGAGAGAAGAAGAAGAGTAAGCTGTCTAGGCCACGATCATCTCAACCGCGTCGAGACTGATACTGGGACTCAAATAACCCGTAGACGTCTTTCCAGAAATGACAGAGATCTTCAGTATCTGGTACTCCCTCGCGCTCTTCACCCACGCACTTGCCGGCACACTGTACTCATAAACGTAGTTGTTGCCGCGGTACGTTCCAACAGTCAGACTTCTGGTATCGCCCTGGCCCTTATCGGACTGTAAGGTAGCGGTCCAGCTGTTCACGGCAATAGCCGGTCTTCCACCAGACATGCCCTCTGTGACACCGATTCTGATCTTTGCGCCATTGGTTAGTTGCGCATCGCTGAGGCGGAAGTAGACGAGGTGGTCGTTATTGATGTCTTTCCACATGTAGCCGGGGAAGTTGGCAGCGGAGCTGGTACCCACAATATAGTTGCTAGCATCCCATTTGGCGAGGCGCGAATCAGATGGGTGCATGTAGGTAGGCTTCATGGGGCTGTCGCCGAAGTTCAGGAAACCCTTAGGCGTGCCGTCCCATTCGCCAATTCGCCACATGACAGCCGTGTCCGACGGGTCGTTGCAAGTGATCGTGTTCAGCGCTGCGGTGCCTCCAGCAGTGACGGTAACAGTGCTAGTGTGAACCTCGAGTTCCTGCAAGATCGGGTGAGTTCACGTCAGAACAAAGTGCTGATGTATGGCTTCACTTACACCCTTGTATACAGTCAAAGTGTACGAGCCTGGTAGAATCTTGCTGATTCTCCAAGAGCTGGATGATGCAATTGTCCAGTATTGCGCCTGGGCACTCTTCAGACCGACAACATACTGGTAACCGTTCTTTACGTTGGCCAAACCAACACCAGCGACGGCACCACGTTGACTAGCCGGAACCCAGCCATCGATTCCAAGGGAGTCCATCCAGTCCCAGTTAGCGTTGCGAGCGAAGAGTGCGGTGCTCGGTGCGGCACCACTATCCGTGAAGTGGAGGACGGAGGGACCTTGCAGGCCAAAGCGCATCACATCAGTATGACCTGTAACACATTAACAGATGTTTTGGTCTAGGCCGAGAGTGAGTTCACGTACCCATGTTGTAGTGGTAGATATCATAAAGATCTGGACCACCACTACCTCCGCGGCGCACCAAACTTCGGAAGAAAGGCCCGCCCGAAGCCTTCTCATGATTCGACCTGATCATGTACATGCCGACATTTCGATTGGTGTACCCAACCCAATCGTAGTCCATAGTACGGCCATACAACTTGCCGGAGTAATGTTTGGACCATGTCTGACCGTTGAGTCCATTGATGTCACCAGACTCGATGGCAGTCGCACCATCCGGCACCCAGTCCGTGGCTTCGTTGATGTTGTTGGTAAAGATGTTCGGCGGGATGCGAAGGATGTATCGGGACACAGTGATGCTGGTATCTTTCTTGTTCATGAAGATGTAGACGTTGGGGTTGCCATAGCGGAAGACGAGAGTGTGAACGAGCGTTCCCACTTTCATCGTCACCTTGATGACGTTGGTGTATTGCTGAATGGTGACAGTGCCGGGTGCGAGGCCAGATTCCACG